GTACGGGAGGCAGATTATGCTATAGACAAGTGACGTCACCTGGGGTTTGGCCACAATTCTCATCCGCCCAGGCAGTTACAAGCAGGATAGCTACCAAGAGGAGGCCCTTCATGGTCGTTTCGCGCACTCGAGACGCACTCCCTGGGTAGGATGCACGGTTTGACCAGGCCGTGTTTGCTATTTCCAGCGAACTGAGTGATTGTATTTGCTCATCCCGCGATATCCTTGAGCCGTTCACCCGCAGCTGCAGGAAATGAGTTCGTTTCGGCGCGTGATTGGTCGTCCTCGGTTCGCATTTGATACTTTATTCCAAGTACTTCAGGACGCACGCACGAGACTCGCAAAGACAAGTGGGAGCTCTGGAAGAGGGGAAGGCTTTGGTTCACTCCGACCAATTTGGGGCGTCGCAAAGAGCATGCGCAGTCTGACACCCCAATTCTACTTGGGGACCCCAAAGCGTTTCCCCTATTCTAAAACTCGATAATTTGCCTAATGAGTAGGCATGCGTGATTAATCGATTACTCTGCCGTATATAATCTAATAATGCCTTAATTAATCGCTGAATTATTTCACAAAGTGGCGGTGCAACAAGTTTTGTACTTTAAGCCGTTAATTGCGGGAATATCTGTCAACATTAATTTAAAAACAGAAAAGAAAATTTTTTTTTTTGCATAATCTAGATTAAAAAAAAAAATTAAACTAATGAAGTTTGTAAGAATAAAATGGCTTCAACATAAAATAAAGCGGAGCTCGCGCTCTCTAGGCGACTGTTAACTGAAAAAGTTCCGCCTGGTTCGGTATTCGATCCCGGGACCTTTCAAAGACTAGCGGAGCGCTCTACAATCTGATCTAACAGGGAGCTGGCAGTCAGTAGAGCAAACGGATGTTAACAGTTACCACCAGTCTTGGTCGCAGCCACCGCAAGGGTGCGATCAGTCATTAATGATTTCATATAATAAATTAGAGTCGTGATATAGGCGAGTTGGTTCATGGTAATCGGAAATAAACAGCGCTCAAAAATACAGACAAGGACAAAGGGAGAATGCGAACGACACAGATGTATATGTCAGCCAAACATCGGTGTTTCAACGCAAAAAAAAGAAGAAAAAAATTCTTGACACGTGTTCAAGCGATAGTGCGGTTTACTTCGTTGGTGCTTTTTTTTTTTCAATAAATGTTTAGTTGTGAGTCCAGCGCTTGTGTCGTTTGCATCGTCCCTTTGTCCTTGTCTGTATTTTGGCGGGCTGTTTACTTCCGATTTATATAATGAGTTTTGGCGGAAGCCTCCAAGGTGAAGGTTTACGTAAGAATAAATTGGCTTCCTCCAGGGGACTTCCCCTAAAACTCATTATACCAAATGAAGTTGGGCGTATGACAGCGTCTCTGGTGGAAACCCGAGGGAGGAGAGGAGCATATGGGGAGAGCGAGAGTGCATCGACCGACGTTACTAAGTACCCGGGACCTGTTCCGCCAAATTTAGCGGACGGTGGTAACCGGACGTCGTCAAAGTGACGGTGGTCACGGGACATGAACGGCGAGATAATGATCACGACGTCATCAGCGAGACGGGGTCACGTTACAACATCCAGGTGACCGCGCCACGTGACATCACAAGACACCAACCACATGACCCCGTTCCATGACACAAACCACGATATTACATGACGCCGGGTCACTTGACGTCACACTGCAACGTCGTGTGACACAAGGCCACATGAGGGGACGTCACGTGACAGCGTGATGTCACGTGGTACTGGGACGTCAGGTGACACTACGTCACATGACGTGATGTCATGTGACGCAACGACGTGAAACCGGTACGTCACGTAACCACCGTCTCGTAACGCAGCAACCACGTGACCCCCATGCCAATGATGTAATAATATCATGCCCCGTGTTGCAATGCAATTTGTATTTTTATGTAATTTTGAATGTGATGTAATGTATAAGTACTCCCGACGAGGGAGTTGTAGTTCTGTCGCATTACATCTTCCTTGGCGGGAACCTCAGTAAAGGCGTAGATTTTTGCCGGCATGGCTATCATCATGGTGAAGTGCAATACGCTATGACATTATTGCTCTGAGCTATCGGAAATGCTATCAGTACCTTCATTAAAGGGCCACTGACAACCCCAACATGGGTACTATTGCTACTACCTCAAACGTTTCAGAAACGGGTGACCAAAAAAATTTCGCAGCGAAAATTGTTTTCAGTGTGCAGAATCAAAGATCCGCGTCCTCCTCGAGTCCGGGCTCCTCACTTCTGTCTATTTTATTATTTGGATAAGGTAAAAGGTGAAGGTGTTCTTCGTGAATTTAGGGATGTCGCAATTTGCACGTGCGTAACAATTGTTATGCAATTTATCAGATATGTTTTCTACGACCATTGCAGACGTGCCACACTGCTGACTTGGAAATATAAAAGCTCGGAGCCAAAAAGTATTAGTGACGTCGAGGCATCGGTCATCTCCAGATTTGTTTGCCCCTTCTAATTCTTAGTATAACGTCGTCCTGTGGCTGTACTGAAAACATTGAGAGGAATCGGGACAATTGGGAAGTCGGCTACTGCCCGGTTGAATTGTTTCCTTTTGGTGCCCGAAAACCTTTCGGACTTCGAGAGCATTATAGTTTCTGACTTCGTCTTTCTGGAGTGCCAAAGTTTTTTTTCTTTCTCCTAGACATCATTATTACGAACATAAAAGAATGCCATGACAAATTGCCATCCAATGTTGTTTTTGAGAGTAATATTTTCAGGTTTATGTTCGCCATCCAGCGTGGTTCACTCCATCTCACGGCAAGCAATGCCGATTTCGTCACGTTATAACTCATAACGTTGTCGCGAATGTTACTTGTTTGCGCGAATATACGCAGTTTGATCAAAGCGTTTTGGGACTGATCTTGTAGCGTAAAAAGAGAGGGCAGCACAGTGATGCGCGCGGAGCAGTCGAAGAAAGGGACCTTCTTGTCTCGTTATACCAAAGGGCGTCGCTCTGTGAATATTTTGGAGCTGCACTACACGAGATTGTTTGACCACATGCACGAGCATAATGGCGATCTCTCCATATATAGACTGCGAAGCAAAGTAAGGTCGAACATCATTTTTATGTCCAACTCGGCAAATCTAGAGCAGATACCTCTGAAATGAGTTAGAAGGCTTATGTCAAAAAGCAGTGAGATGTGCCAGGTGTTTTGAGTGGCACCCGTTCCTCAAGAGTGGCAGAACGTCACTGAAGTCAAGGAGAGGTCGGATAAGGCCCCCCTACCGCTCTTCGTCTGCCAGAGATGTTCTGCCTTTATTGAAACGCGTGTGACACCTAAAGCACTTCGCAAAACTCACTATTTTTAACACAAGCCTTCTGAACCATTTCAAAGGTCTCTGTTTTATATTTGCCGAGTTTGACGCAGAATTGATGTTCGCTCTCGCTCTGGTTTCCAGTCTATGGTTAAATCGCCTTTGTGCCCCTGCACGTGGCCACAAAAACTCGTGTAGCGCCGCTCCAAATGTTCACAGATCAATGCCTTTTGGTATTGGGGGCGTTTTATCGAGCTTGTTGTCTTTACAGCCCAACGTTTACCAACACAGTATGACAAAGAAATTGATCCTCGCCTAGCATGGTCTGTGCACGAGCTCTTCGCTCTGACCAGAGACTTATAATCGCACGAGGAGCGGCCTTCGTATCCTCATCTTCGATTTCACGGGTCAAAAACAAACAAGAAAATACGGTTTGTTGTCCCCACAGCTGAAGCGTACCGCTTGGGGCGTGACTGTTCGATCTCCTCCCCAATAACGAGACACGGAGGTCCTTTCCTTTGACTGCTGCGCGCGCATTAATGAGCGGCGCTCTCTTTTAACGCCACAAAATCGGTTCCGGAACTTTTTGATCACACCTCGTATAAACAGTATCATCACCGATCGCAGCGAAATAGCGCACGAGTGAGAATAAATAATTACGCCGTTTCTTAAGTTATGAACGTCACCAGGACTAACACTTCCGACTCACCTGTTCTGGTAGAGTCACACGGCTGCCTTTTGTGTCGGAATTCTTATCCCGAAAACAAGCTGATAATCAACAGTGTTTTTTCGACCAAGGACGTATAGACGTATAATAAACAATTCTGATTTCAGTACGATTCGAAATCTTATTAACGAAATAGCGCTCTGAATTGACTGATTGCCCTCCAATACGTTCTCATTCCTTTTTTTTTTCAACTACAGTTTTGAAATTGTATGTAGTTTGCGTAAGAGACCATACAAATAATATAAACCAGACTATGCATTAAAATATTGATTGACAATGCATGTTTCATTCGTTTTGACCGAGTTCATTAAGCTTGACTAAAGCCACGGTCCCATTGCTAATACGTACATGTCCGAAGCATACTTATAAACAAACATGATTTGAGCATCCCTGATGCGACAGTGTCCGCACATAATTCTGCCATCATGTCTGCAGAGAAACTCCGTGGATCTTTTTTAATGCGAAAGCATTCACCGGTCCCATGGAGCGAGCTGACGTCATCAGTTTGTAGCGCGAAAACGGCACCTAGTTTCTATGATACCAAAGAAGCGAAGTAAAGCTGATGGATTTCGCCTTCGGTTCCCGTGGCCGCTGCGCTCGTCAGTTTCCACGACCGCTCACCCCATGGCGCTGCGTGTACATCAGCGCGCCGTTAACACGGAACGTCCAAGGTCACCAGGGAAGCACGCGCGCTGACCGGCGACGAAAAGTACGCAGCAGACGAAACAAGGGAGCGGACGAGCGGCTTGCATGCTTTCGCATTCACAACTCATAAAAAGTGCTTAGGTGTACCTCGAGTTTTTTTTTCTCTTTTTTGTTTAACGATTCAAAAATCTTAGCGTATATAGCAATTAACGTGTAGCAATTTTATTTACTTAAAATGGCACCCGGCTTTCACGGGATTGTATTGGTGCATTTTGCATATTTTTGCATGGTAGGAGGCTGTGGTAGAAAGAGTTTATTTCGTGTCTCGTACAATACTCTAGTCAATAGAAATGGCGACGTGGTACCAGTGCACGCATATGAAGAAACTTTTCTTGTTTTCAACTGGGACGGTGGGTCTCTTCAGGCTGCAACCCTGCTTTCCAAAAGAAATAGCACATCACTGTCAAATTGGTAAAAAAAGAGAGTGTGCGATAGATGTATCTAATAAACGTGTAATTAGTGACTACAAGTTGCTATAAAATTATTATTTGATTGGAGATCTAGTGACTTACAAAGAGTTTATCTGCAATAAGTTCCGGTTCTCCTGGAAGGTCGGGCACCTCGCTCTGAAAAAAAAAAGTTTTATTTTGAAGGATTACGGTAATTTTTATGCACCATGTAGGAACGTTTTCCGGTGTCATCTCATTTCGGCATAAGTTACCATATTCGTGACTCCAGCGACCCATGGGGGTCGCTACCCTCGGGCAAATATGGCGATCGAAAACAGGTCGGTTTGGGCCATACGCAAGCTCAGCGCACAACGCCCGAGTTTTCGCAGGCAAGCATTGGACTCAAAATTGTTTGTCCCGATTAATATTCACTACGTCCCGAACGTGCGGTGATATGTTAGCGTACATGAGATTCCAGAGCTTTGACCTTTGGGGAAGCGATGAAAAGACTACCTACCGTCTTCTACTGCGCTGATGAACGTTGATAAACGCACAATGTCTGGTTCACGCAGTTGCGTAGGTTCCGTTACGAGCTACCTAGGCAACATGCTGATACGGTAGCAACGACAGAGTCACAGGACAACTGTCAGTGGCGTACCAACTTGTTTTTGAGTGGGGGGGCAAACCAGACCCTCTCCCCCCCCCCCCCCAAATCGAAAATTCGGCGCAACTTTTGTCCAACTTTTCTAAAGATTTGGCAATGATTCGGCAAAATTACAACGTTACCAGACTTAACATTGATATTTTGTTTTTTCTCACGAAAAAAATTTTGCTTCTTCTTCTTAAAATAAATACAACTTGTCGTGCCTATTGAAAGAGTTATGACTAAATAAGGTGATATTCTAGAAGATAATTGTATCGATGTCGCTTTTGTGTGTTTACTTGTAATTTTGGTGTATGCTTCCAGAAAGTGGCGTGACAACGAGGTTGGGTAGTAGCCGGCACAGTCACGAATCACACTACGAGAGCTTTGATTTTTAGGCTTCATCAGCGCACGCCTGCAAGTGTGTTTACATTGTTAAAATAAAGGCAATCACTGCGTTCTTACTTTCTCTGGTAGTCGCCGTTTCGTGCGCGAAAACGGATGCAACGGTTGCTGAGCCTTCACCAGAAGAGATAACAATATTGTAAATATGCATGTTTTTCGATTTGAGTCACTTGACGTCAGCTTTGCATGAAAGTGCGCGTTCCATATTCGCAACGTGCCGTTTTTAACCTTTAAAATTCCGGTTTCTGGTGTTCGGACACACACGGACGTTTAGGAAGATGGGGAGAGTTAGGAATGGTCGGATATGCAACGTCGACCATGATAGTTCTGTGTTTAACGAATATTTTTCATCAGTGTTTACTAACGAGTGCTTGGACTCCGTCGAGTAACTGTGGGATTAGCTCCGAATAGTGGCGTTTCTTTGTATTCCGAAGCTCAAGGAGACTTGACGCATTTGAAGAAAGGGCTTGTCCCCGCTTCTCTCCAATGTAGGAATTCTTGCCCACTACAGGAGGTGCACACACTGCTCCTTTTACGGTGCAGGCGATAGAACCCCTAACAACGACACTCACGCCGGATGGGCTGCTCGTGTATCACTCGAAGCGCGTTAACCCACCCCCGCGCCTGCGTTCACGCCGCTTCGCGGTGACGGTGTGCGGCTGCTATTTACAAATCTATTAACCCACCTAGCCCCCCCCACCCCCGTACACGCCGCTTTGCGGCGTCCGGTCGGCAACCCAAGCCCCGCTGCCCCCCATGCACTTCCGTAAATAGAGTCGATACGATTTAGTTTAGCGATGTTTCGTCAACAACATTCGTTTTTTTAGTGTTAATGGTAAAAAAGAAATGTAAATATCGCCAAATCCCTCGACAAAACAAAATGTTCGAGAAAAAAAAATAAAAAGAAGTAAGCCGGCCCACACCATAAAGAGAACCCGGGTCTGACACGTATGAGGCAGACATCTCACCACTAAGTTACGCTACCTCTTCGGAAACTCGCATTGCATCCGCTGCCTATGTTGACGGCGGCAGCGCCTATCTCCAAGCAAGCAAGCAAAACTTTATTTTGTGTAAGGGCCTACGTCCTGGTCTGGACAGCCCGTCCGGCCCATGTCTCGCGGATGGATTCCGTAAGGTTACCGTGTAGCCTTGTTCGTGGAGCAAGGCTTTACGAACCAGCCAATCCGGCGTGCGTGAGCACCGTTGCTAGGGTTTGTATCGCCTGCGCGTTAAAAATATGCCCGCGCGGGTCGGGGGGCAGTGCCCTTGGTATTCCTTGGGCGCCGCCGGCCTGTGTCTGCTCTGCCCAGTGGCGGCCGTTTCAGGGGGGGCAAAACGCATGCCTTGCCCCCCCACTCTGAGAACTGGGGGGGGCAAGTGCCCCCCTTGCCCCCCCGGTTGGTACGCCCATGACAACTGTTCGCCCTTCACAACATAAGAAGTGACGCATGATGCACCTATACTTCGTCTCACCCTACGATGGACTAAGGCGAAAGCTACGGACCGCCAGATCCAATCACGAGCCACTAAGAAATTGCGTGGTATTGCGCTTTGATGCACGCATCAGCCCGCGTCTCGGATCACTGATGGGGATGGGCGGAGAGTGCTTCGAATTTAATAGCAGTGAGTGACTCAACAATTTTACATTGCAAAAAAGCCGCGACGTGCAGGCTGTTTGCAGCGTCGAAGATATAGAAATGATGCAGCGTTTTTGGGTTCGGAGCGTTATTCGTCCACCCCTAATCAAAGGTAGGCATGTCATAGTTTATCGTAGAACGTGATTGGACATGGCGGCCCGTGGCTTTGGCCTTTAGTCCATTGTAGGATGAGACAAAGTATAGTTTTGTGGGCCAAAATAGGTCATGGTTTTCCCTGTAGCCCTGTCATTGCTGTCGTTCTCGTTGCTTTGGACACTGCCAAACCAGATTTCTTCGCTTTACTTGGGCGGCTATCGCTCCAGCCGCCAACAACATGCAATTGCAGAAGCTACAAGGGTCGAGTAGACTATTTTAAATCGTTAAATAACCTGTTCCGGCCGGTTCAGTGTTTTCCCGCTAGGCTTTGTTTTGCCGCGGTCGCGAATAGACGTAGTCTCAATCTGGCCAAATATTTCATTCCGGTTGAACGTTCCTATTCGTCTTGATTCCCTGCTTGGCTTTTCATTTTCAATTGGCTTGACATTTTAATTTTGGTTTAATTTTGAGTTCGATTGGAAATCTTATTTAGGCTCAATCATTTTAACTTGACTGGAATTCTGTCAACTCCTGGACCACTCATTTCAGCTAAAGCTTTTAGCTACATGATTGGCTGATATCTTTTCTCTTTAGTTTCTTTTGTGTCTTGATTTGAAACAAACAGTTTCACACAGTTTAGTAGGCTTCATGGCATATGAGGGTCACATGTTCCTGTCACCACTTACTTTAGTTATGTGTTGTTTTACCTGTTAAACTCTTTGCATACACCAAGCTTGTGATTTCAATGTTGGTCGGTTGCAAGCAATTGGGACTACCACGCGCCGTGAAGTGTTAAAAACGCAGGAGCACGTTTATTTGAAATTAAGTTGCCAAAGCAGGAAGCAAGCGTGAACACTCCATATTCCCGGTTAATGTGAGCAAGGGCATCACAACCAATCAGATATTTTAGTCAAATTAAGAACTTTTGAAAAAGTGAGACTTCAGTTCAATGGAGACTTTTGCCGGATTATAATATAATTGTTTTTGTTGGTGATCGCGAGCACGGGGGATGAATGCAATGAAGTTAGGCTTTCTTATAACGTTGGCTGTATTCATGCCTCGATGAACGGGTGGGAATCTTTATTGAAGTAATATGTTTTGCTTCACGCATGCACCTAACACAACTTTCCCGAACGAGTTGTAGATGCCTGAAGAAGCCCGTTTGGTTCCCAGTCTTGTGAGATTTGAGCGATGTAAATGAAATCTATTTTCCTCGAAGGAAGTCAATGTTCCTATTCCAAAGAAAAAGGGCCCCGCAGGTTTGCTGGCTCGATTTTGACAAAGCCCAAATTTTTCAGGCGGAGCGCTTCAGGGTTTACAGATGAGAATTGTACGGTGTTTGAGTTCGACAAAGTCGCGATTCCGAGACTGCCAGACGGCGGAAGACCTTGTAACTCACACCGCGCCGGGCACCTGTACAGTTTTATGACAGCAGGTGTTCAGCCTTGCCTCTACACCTATAGCTAGACATCAGGCTCTGTGTCGAGAGCACACCGGAAGAATAAAGAGGAGTTTGAACGACGACGCCTTGCCATGGATCAAGTGTGTCGAAGGTTCGCTCCCATTTCTGACAAATGCCTTGAGATGGCGCAACATGACAGAAGCCCGGGGAACCGTCCTTATTTGCGCACAAATGTTCAAGGCCGCGGGGCCCGCAACCGCGCCCGTGCGAAGGCCGTGTGGAGTCCCAGCCCGACAGTGCCGCGGCCGGGAGATGTTCGAAGCCCGACTGGAATTTCGACCCCCTTTCAGGGCTTGATCAGACACCACTCTCTTTTTTTGTCAATGGTCGAGAGCAGCAATACACTCTAAGATAGTTCGAGCGTTAGCGTCCCTTTAGAACACAGAAAAGCGAGTCACGGCGGACCAACGGAAGAATCCCAATAAATAACGAAACTCAAAATGCGACTGACAAAAAAAGAAAAAAATTAAAAAAGCAAACAACGCACAAAAAACACGATATGCTCGTAAACAATGAACATTACGTTACACTTCCTCCTCTCTGCGCACATCGCAGTTTTCGAATCCAATCATTTTCTGAGCTTCGTTATTCGGGAATATTATTACATTGTCCGTCATGATCGATTCTTTCTGTGTTGTGCAGGAAAGGGAACTCGCACATTTTTTTAGAGTAGATTTGTCAGCTGGATGGGAGTCGCCAGAACACCCCGGTTCGAGAAAGAACGATGGATGGAGAAACCTTCAATGGTGACAGTAGAGAGCTTTACTTGATCGTTTCGATACCTCTTATAGACATTCCAGGGCTTATCATCCGGGCGAAAATGCTGAGTCACTGAGCTGTGGACGTATGCACATCGTGTGATATACGCATGCACAACCATAGCCTCCACTATACTCACAAAGCCTGGCAGTTCGACCACGGAGCCGCAGAGTGCCCGGTTGCAGGTTTGAAGCGCGAGGATCTGGTAGCAGACAGCATCAAAGAGCCATTTCTCGGGGAACCTGGACGTCAGCGCACAGCTTTTGTAGCGGCAAGGACCCGAAACACACTTGTTCGCTCGGGAGAAGTGTGTTTCGGCGTCTCGCCGCAGCGGGGCGCCAGTCACGTGGCTCTCCTCTCATATCCGTTGTCTGCCGCTCCACCTTTTCCATTTCGGAGGCCGCTTCTCGTGGCGATCTGCCAGGCTTTTTCAGTATATAGGAGGCTATGGCACAACAGAGCTCAGCACATGCTCAGAGGGCGTTCCACAGCCCAGCAGAAAAAAAATGGCAGCGCACACGAGGTGATTTTTGGAAAAGGTCTAAACCCGGCCCCGATAACCATGCGATGCATCCGCAATGGCGTCGGCAGAGTATCGGGAATAGTTATCAGAGTCATCGGAACGATCTACTAAAACGCCTTCTGAGTAACATCATCAAACGGTACTTGAGACGCCCAAATCAGCGATATCTGCTTTCTTTTTTTATGCGCACCGCCACAACAACGTGCACATCTTTGAACAAAGCAGCCTATAGTCAATGCCAGCTCAAGAAGCACGGGGGGGGGGGGGGGCTTACTATGTTCGTGCTTCTTGTTTTGAGATAAGCCGCTTATCACGCAAGCGAAACAGGGTGAGTCACCGGCCTGTGGACGCATGCGCGACGTCTCATATATTTCGTGGATGAGAGCCACTGTGCACTCTCTGAAAGCTTCCACAGCCCAGATAAACAAAGATGGCAGCGCCCGGAGAGCGAGTATTAAAAAGGTCTATAGCAGGTTCCCCGATCCATATGCTTGGATGTGTGCTAACTTTGCTGAGATGATTGGGACAGTCGTTGGGCCACCTCTTCGCATAGTGGTCCGTCTTGTGTGCCCTTCACATTCTTTCTGTTTTTACGTTTTACTGTACGGCGTAGCTGACAGATATGAAACCAAATATTGCGGTAGGGTGGTATGTCACAGTTTGGATGAGCCCACTCTAGTTTATGACGCACACGGCTCTTGTGTTTTTGCGTTGTGCGTTCAGGTGGAGAGTTTTAATATTTCTGGGGCTATTGGGACTTGCGAGCTGTCTGAATGGGGTCCACGACTTAGGTTATTTACATATTAATGCAATTCGTGTGCTACGCCTATGATGTTGGCAATTGGTTTAATAACAGTTGTGGAAACATCTTACTTCGTTCCGTACTCACAAAAGAAAAAACAAAGTAACCTGGCTTGACGTGTTCGTTAAAGAGAAAAAAAGATTTGTTAGAAAGTAAATGCCAATGCTTATTTATTAGCCCGTTCTAAGTATCTGTGAATACAACTTCCCACCAGCTATGTGAACTTATGAAAGAGGCACAGACGCGAGCGTGGTTTATGGAAGGTGGCTTGGTGAGCAGAAGCAGATTGTACTCTTCATGCGGCTTCTACTACGACAGCGACATTGAAGCGATTAATTTATCCAAGGCCCTTGTTTTTTTTCCAACACTTGCCGCTGTTATTCTTAGCCGCACACAGCACTACACAGAGGAAAACTCTAGCTGCAAGATCACGTTCTTTTTAGAGCGCAGCCCTTAAGCGCCCGTTTCCGGCTTGAGTGGCGCCGGCGTCGCCGTCGCCGTCGGCGTAACTGCGCGGTGCATTATGGGTAAACTTCCCCGTTGAATCTAACGGAAAATTTTCTCCCCTAAATTTAGCGGAAATATTTCCCCGCTAAATCTAGCAGAAAAATTTCCCCCCTCAATTTAGCAGAAAAATTTCCCCGCTAAATCTAGCGGAAAATTTTCCCCACTAAATTAGTGGAAAAATTTCCCCGCTAAATCTAGCGGAAAAATTTCCCCGCTCAACTTAGCGGAAAAATTTCCCCGCTAAATCTAGCGGGAGAATTTCCCCGCTAAATCTAGCGGAAAAATTTCCCTGCTAAATTTAGCGGACAAATTTCCCCGCTAAGTTCAGCGGAAACTTTTTCCCTAAATGAGAGGCGACCAGGAGAGGAGGAGGGGCATAGCCTCCTCTCCGTACCTTCTCCTCCTCCTCCTCAAGAGCTGCGCTCTAACTCGGCGTTACAGGGAGTTGTAAACGGCTTTCATTTTTTCGTAGACACCTGCTTGAGCGTGTTTTCTCTCCACAAATGTACAGCTTCGACATGCTTCGGGGCCTCTGTCCTAGGAGACACACGTACAGCCTTGGAAACAGTCACATTTTTGTTCTCTTCTCTTTACTGACGTGTGCCTATACTTCTTTATAAATGTCCTACCTCATTAGGCTCTGATAAGGTAAGACGTCAAAAGCCAAACCAATTCTAAGCACCCGAAAGAAAAATGTTATACCAACCAATTTTCTAAAATGTATGTTTTTGGTCCCTTCCAATCGAACATTTACTACTTCCAATGGCAGCGCAGGACAAAAAGTAGATGGTTAAGCGTGTTGGTTTCTAATTTACTATAACGAACGATGGACATTGAAAACGAACAGGCATAACAGGCTCGAAAGCCTGTGTTGTGTTTGTCTTCAATGTCCCTCTTTCGTTATTGTAAACAATAAGTATTCTTCCGTATACTGCTCACTGCCGGACGAAATGGTTATGTGTTGTTTTGTCTTGCGTCTGTCCTTCATTATCATAACTGATAAGTTACGGTTCCTGTAATGACATGGACGCTTGCTTGGTCTCCAACTTTTTTTGTGAGCTGAAAACAACAGCAGTGACCAAGGTGGGAAGGACTCACCAAGGCTGACTTGACCTTTTCCAGAAGGCAGTCGATAATCAGATTGGAGCGTTCAGGCGTTCCTTTGGGAACGGACGAAGCGCACGCATCGTAGTTCTCACAAAGGGAAGGGAGGACCTGCAGATTTTATACGCTTTAATCAAGTCTAAGAAGGTGGAATATGTGAGTGGTTTGCACAATATAAATTGTAGCCCAAGAAGTTACTACACAACGGCGGAAACAGCGAAGCTAGATGTAATTGTATGAGTCGTGAACGCGGACAATCGGCCCTGGCTGTTTAAGACAACAGCTTTTCAAAGGAAAAAAAGCACGTTTTACTGAATTATTGGCATGGAATTATAATGATAAAGCAAACATATGCTTATCGACAATAGCCGTGTCATTGAAGTTTGTTTTCATCTAATATGAGTGTGTCGTATGTACAAACTTCGGTATATAGATATTTCTTTTTCCTTTCTTAGTTTCCTCATCGAGTTATTATACTGACTGTCTTGAATATGGCTGGACTCTTCTTTTTATAACTAGAATAAACTCATGGTCTTAAATGAGAAAAATAATGTCTCAAACAGAGCGGAGTCTGCCGTCAGCACCCGTTTATGGCCGCTCTCTCATTGGGGCTCTCAAAGGAAGCTGTCTTACTTCGTGTTAAAAAAAATAAATCTAAGAATTTACCAGTGCTTGCGAATATTAATAAAAGATTCCCACTCATTTTCTACTTTTTAATGTCTGATTCGAAAACATGATTGATTAATCTAGGCAGGGCAACGAACAGCTAATTATGACAGCGTTCAACGTGCCTTCGCGATTGAGCGCCGTCAATTATAAGCGCAGCTTTGACCGAATTTGCGTTCCGATCGGTGATGCGCAATTCGTTTGGCTGACGGAAGGCTGAACCGCGCCACAAGGACAGTCAACGGATACAATAGATTTTTTTTCCATAGCCGTTTTTTTTCCCCTTTCCTGGGAACTGCACATGCTGTTAATTTGTGGACTTACGAAATCACAAACTAAGAGTGTGTAACAAGACAGGTAGCTCTTGTTTGAATTGTTCAAAACCAAAGTGTGTTCTGGAATGGGGAATGCGACAGGGATGCCAATGACGCGATGGATATTCTGATTGGCTTCTTTCAAGTATTGCAAGATCTAGTATAATTGTGAAGTTTTGTATCAGCTAATTTTGATACATAAATTATTTTATGTTTCCAAAAAGAGGGAAAAAAATGGTTATCCCAAGGAACGGTATCACTTATCTTAGCAACTTTTTTTTGGTAACAACCGCAGCTTGTTTAGTTTCGTTTTTGTAGTCGTCTCCCACACTAGACGATACTATCAGAGGGTCGCATCGAAAAGGGAATTCTAAAGTATATTTTTATCTCGACTGGAAGTCGATGCCTTTACTTGTTCACTGTGCCCATAACTCTGCAATGTTTCTAATGAACATAGTTTGCACACACATTGCAAGGCACGTGTTAAGAAAACATTAAACCTAAGGTCTAATTCTGAACACACTCTATAAGGGGTATTGATTGGACGCCATATTTGAGGGCACTGTTTAGAGCGCATGATTGATTGAAACGTTTATTATGTGAACCATACCCTGGCCTATTGGGCCTCATGTGGCATGGGGGAGGGGAAAGGGGGTTTAGCGATGACGATGGGTCAGATGTACCTTCCAATCCCGGAGGACCGGAGGTAGGAGATGATTGATGAAAATACTAGTGGTCTATGCTCAGGACAAGCTCCGATTAATGGGCTGTTAAGATCGGCAATCTTGATGGTGCGGAATGCACGTTGCAAAAGAACTGTGGAAGCTCGCTGTCAGCACGCGCTCATCAGTCGCGCACAAAGCTATGGCCGCCAGTGAATACTCCCTATTGTGATGGACCCCAAAACTAAATATGTATACAAGACTAACTCGAGACCCAGGACACTGGAAAAAAATTGAATTTGTTTTTGCCGTGTTAATAACCAGATATCTAATATCTGTTCAGATTTTTAAGTTTATTCCGAAAACAATTTGCTTTAATTACAAGCACGTCTACCGTGAGAGTATATGTCAACAGAAGAACAGGCCGCTTTGCGATTAGGCGCGAGATCAAATCGTCGCAACGACTAGTGTCAGAGAAAACAAATTGTATGATGCCTTTAAATATTTTCTTATTAATAGTCGTTGGATGAATATCACAATCGACGTTCCAACGAACTAAAAGAAAAAAAGGCCAGTCTGTTGAAAGGAATACTGAGCAGTGCATCTATTATTTGATAAATGCCAGGCACGTCGTGCTTGAAAATAGCACACACAGCGGCGAACAGGAAAGGTCATAATGTAGAAGCGTAACGTAGTTGTTTACGAGAACTCGAGACATTAGGTAACCAACGTTGTGGGTACATGTCTTACAATTGTTAAATACTTAGAAGGTATTCCATATTTGTCGTAGTTTCGGTAGCATTCGATGAACATGTCCGCAGCCGGTGTCAGCATGGACATCATATCCCTTTTGCCTGGAAAAAAAATATTCGTTTGTTTGTTTTTGTTTTGAAAGGAACAGGACAACCCTAAATCGTCCACAAGATTGTCGTTTACGCTGCAACTGAGATTTCTAGTTTGATTTTCAACAGTTTCAAAGGATGCCCATCTGATCATGCTTAAAGCGGCACCAACGTTCGACAACAAAACCTACAGTCAGTGAAAGGTAAGGAATCCCGTAGATGCCCCGCCTCCAAGGGAACGTCTTTGGTGACACTTGGGCGCACTTGCAGCCAGAGCCTGGCGGAAGAACGAGCGCGTTCTGGAGGCGGAGCTTCTGCTGCACTATTAACCTGTCACCGACTACAGAAGCACTTCTCTCATACTCCACGGTGCTTTTCAGCTTGTATCATCTAGCAGCTAGTGTACCCGAAATTGTTCGGAAGGTACTTTTAAAATGGGTAACGTAGCATGCCAGTAATATTTAAATAAAAGCTTACAGAAGGTTCCAGTGTACGAACAGTAAGTTTAATAAAAGCAGGATAACTAATGGAGTTACTGTAGGGATAAAAAAAAAGATTGACACGTCTGCGGTAGGTTCGCACAATCGCGCTTACAGTTGTTTTGTTTTGACTAATACGTTAACCTCGCCGTGTACTAATTTGAGAGGGAAGTTCTACTACGTCCAGAATATCTTCATAATTCCGCCGTCATGTCATTTTGAGGACAGATCGCGCCATCTCTCGTTATCAGTACCACACCTAATTAACTAATGCCGCAATCATATTGACTGGGGAGCAATGATGAGACGCGGCGAGCTCGCCAAGCTAGGCGTTTCAAGAGCTGTCAGTCAGTGTGCACACGCAGAAAAAGAAAAGCTTGTCTTTGACTTGACGACGTTGTTCGAGCTGGCGCCCAAGATAGAACACACAGTTGCGTCATATCTCACCGGGTTGTGGTCCGCAGGAACGACTCACTGGCGATGCCGAGGTCAGCAGCACCAGCGTGAACGAGATGGTCAGCGTGGCGATCGACAGGGCCATCGTGCGTTTTCTGCGCATCCATGTCCGTTGACGGCCGCCCGCGTTTACACAGCCGGACGGGCGCAGCATGCCGGCGCCCATCTATCTCGGTGTCACGCTCGCTTGCAGCGTATATTGGCACCGTGCTTTCCCTGTCTGTTTTGCTTTCATTTTTTTGCCCGCTGAAAATATTTGCTCTCGGCAATGGCCGATCGTGTCCCTGAGGTTATTTGCAGTTCGTCGGGTATGTTGAAGTGCGGACGTTAGAAAAAATTGAGCATCAGTTTTTTGTTTTGTTTTACCTGTAGTGAATTCTACGTGCCCTAAAATCTGAATCTCTGTACTCTTATATTAAATTCGAATGTCTCTTGTAAGAATGCTCAAAGTGCAGGCTGCAATACGTTAAACTTGATGGTGAACACTGATCCTGAGGTGGAAATGAGTTAAAACAGTTTAATAGAGATCAAGTAAGGTCAGAGACAGTGTCTCAGACGTTGCTAAAAAAATTATTTTCTACACCGTTCTAGAGTTTGAATTCAAAGGCTAAGGACTGATACTGGGTTTTGGGTGATTGTGTCACTAGTAGCGTTTCGTCAGACGCAGAAACCTGTCACACAACAACTACAACGGTATAGGTCAATGGGCGCAATAGTGTATAGTTCAAACTATGTTTTACAAAATTCCGAAATATTTACCTGGTTTTTGATAATAACTTTTGTCACACATTCTAGACATAATGACAGATGCCTCTTCAACGAAAAATGCGAAAGGACGCGAGCCTTGACTTGTTACGATAGCTCTAAATCTCAAGAAGTAAGAATCATTCGCAAATATGGCTCAGCAGCTCCGTTCGAGACGAAAATCGGCCTAGCTTATACATTTCCTAAAAATATTGGATCATCAAACTTTTGTTTTGCTCAATTTAAAAAGAAATCACCCTATACACTAATTTGGGGAAGGTATAAATACCTACCCGTGTACGAGTGTTCCATTACCAGTGAGGTCACACGAGAACGTGGTTACATTTGTCAAAGCAGAACAAGCTTTGAAACTCTACATTGGAAATAATAAAATATGGGTCTAACAGATGTAGTAAGAAAACTTGTGCGCACACGAAAGAGAAGACCTATACAAAATAGGAGAAACGAACAAGGGCATGTCTGTGCCCCCTACTTCGTGTTCGTCTGTTCCTTTTTGAGTAAACAACTTTTCTTTGAATAATGAACCGACTAGTCGAACAACAAGTCTTGTTAGATTACCAGATATAGTGCATGGGGTTTAATGTTTTTTTATATTGAGTGATGAGGTTGGCAATGTGTTTCTTTCTGTTTGACGTGTATTGTTGTCCCGTCAGGTAAAATTTGTTCACCTTTTGTGACCCTCCCTCCTAATTAAGAGGTGGAAATAAAGATTAATAATATTATTTTAATATTATTGTGACTGTCATCAATCAATCAATCAATCAATCAATCAATTTTATTTACATCATCATCAAATAGTGATGTGGGCTGCAGAGGCAAAAAGTCAAAACAGTTTTGACTTGACAAGGCCTCTGCAGCCTTACAATTGGCATACGGTAACAAACAACAGCAACCGGGGAAAACAAGCAGACAGCGACATGGGGAAAAAAATAAATAAAACACTTATATACTCTATTTGCTGTTTGAGGAAGGATTTGACCTCTTACACAAAGAACGAAAAGAAACGACAGCATCTAGGGACTGGGTGTCTACAGGAAACAAAAATATATAAACCGGATGCATTTACAGCTCACAAAGACAATTTATTTTTTATTTGTGAAAACAAAGTTCTCGAATTTCATTGAGATGTAGGTTTTCAATGTTTGACAAATTTTGTTTTTCAACTTTATTTAAGACAAGTGGAAGATTATAGCTTAACATTTGAAACCCGTAGTTCGTGCGATTAAATGGAATTTTCCAGCGCTCCCTTTCCCTAACGTCATAAGGTTTAGAAATGGGAGTTAAATTTGAAATACAAGTAAAAAATGGTTCATTACATCGGAGGGTGGATCTATATCGTGTGAGGAGAGTACGTGGCACGCCTTTGATACTTATTCATTCATATTTAGAACACCGTAAGCAATGTGTCTCCGTGAGTGATCATGTTTCCTCTTTGCAAATCTTGAAGTTTGGTGTGCCCCAAGGCAGCATACTCGGCCCTCTGCTGTTCAATGTATATATAAATGATCTAGTCAATATTTGCCATCAAGCACGTTTTGTAATGTATGCAGACGACACGAGTATATTTCTGTCTGCATCGAATATGGACGAACTTATACCCATGGGAAACTTAGTTTTGGAAAAGTTTCTTTCGTGGTCAAAAATAAATGGTCTTAAAATAAACACTGTAAAGTCCAAAGCAATTTTGTTTAGACCTGTAAATAAGCACGTTATTAGTAATTATACTCTAGAGATTGGAACTGACCAGATTGAAATAGTTAAACAGCACAAAACGCTAGGTGTCATTTTTTCAGAACATATGCAATGGGATAATCACATCGAATACTTAGTTACGAAACTGTCAAAAGTTGTTGGAATAATATGCCACTGTCGCTCCTTGTTGCCTGTAAATATTAAAATGCAAATTTATCATGCTCTGTTTAGCTCACAAATTAACTATTGTCATTTGGTTTGGGGCACAACAACCAAATCTAATATTAACAAACTTTAGATCCTACAAAAGAAAATGCTGCGTTTTATTGCAAACGTGCCTTACGACACTCATACTGAGCCATTATTTCTTAAATTCAACATCATGAGGATTGCCAGTGTATACGAGTACCGTTTGCTATGTTCTTATTTATTTTCGACCGCTGAGTTTGCTTCTTTTTTGTCTAATGTATCCCATCTGACAAAACGTGAATCCTTCATCCTTGTCAGACGCAGAGAGTTCTGGAACGTGCCTCATTTTCGTACAAATTATGCACTCCAATCTATTGCGCATAACCTGCCTTCATTACTTAACAAGTTCCTTATAGACCACAATGATATTCACTGTTTAACAAAAAAAGATGTACGTGTTTGTTTTGTTTAGTCAAAGTGTATTCTGTAGTACTTGTTTTTTTTATAATGCCCTGTAAGTGCAGGGGCACCAGGCCCAGTCAAGCTACCTCATGGAAGCTTTTTGTCTGGTGCCCTCAGCACAATATTGCTGAAAATAAATATTACTTACTTACTTACTTACTTACTAAATTCATATGAATCAAGAATAGATGTTAGATGCAGCTCTTTAAACAGAGGACGAGTGTGTGTGTCAAAAGACACGTTTCGTATAATGCGGACAGCCTTTTTTTGAAGAATATGTAATTTATTTAGGTTGGACTGGCTTGTAGTGCTCCACACCAAGCTACAGTAATTTAAAATAGGTTCAAAAAGAGCTTTATATATGATATCCATAATAACCCTGAGACGAAGGAAAAATAAAAAAACGGACAGTACAACGAAGTCTCTAGACTTCGTTGTACTGTCCGTTTTTTTATTTTTCCTTCGTCTCAGGGTTATTATGGATACCATTCACCAGCTCGCCTGTGTTTTTTACCTTTCTTCACTTTATATATGAGCAATTTTAAACGACAAGGCAGTATATTTTTAAACTGGTACAATTTTCCCAGCACTTTTGAAAGTTTTTTAGCTATATTGATAATATGATCATTCCAAGACAGGTGGTTGTTAAAATAAACTCCAAGCGTTTTCACATTTTGAACGAGTTCAATTTGAGAGAGGCCAAGAACAATATTAAAATTGGAACTGACATTTCTATTCTTAGGTCTGAAAAGGACCGCCTTGCTTTTGCTCATATTAATTACTAACGAGTTTACTACACTCCATTCATATAGCTTCTGTAGTGTGGTGTTAGTTTCATACACCAGTTCCTGTATTTCAGTGCCTGAAAAAAATAAGCTAGTATCATCAGCGTAAATGATGAAAGAGGGGGTTCTACTGATGTTAACAATATCATTTATATACAAGTTAAATAAAAGAGGACCCAAGATGCTACCTTGTGGTACTCCTGATCTGATAGGTTGAACGGTAGAACTTTGACCATTTATTACAACACATTGCCGCCGAAAATTAAGATATTATTTTATAATATCAAGTGTTACACCACGGACTCCATAACATTCGAGTTTTTTTATGAGAGTAATATGATCGATACGATCAAACGCTTTAGAATAATCTATAAAAATACCCAAAATTAATTTTTTTTCTTCGAAAGACTTCAAAATTAGCTCCTTCTGTTGTAACAATGCCAATTCCGTTGATCGGCCTTTGCGAAAACCGAACTGAGAGTCTGTAATTATTGCAAATTTTTTACAGAAACTTGTTAATCTATTATGAATGATTTTTTCAAGGCATTTAGAAAACACAGGTAATATTGATATAGGTCTATAATTTGAAAAATCGTTTTTGTTTCCACCTTTAAACAAAACAATAACTTTTGCAATCTGCATTTTTGTAGGAAATACACCACTATACAATGAGGCATTCACAATATGTGTTAAAACAGGTGCCAAGACATCTAATACATACTTAATTGGTTTGATCTGGAAATCATCTATATCAGAGGAGTTACTGTTTTTAAATGATAACATTGTGGAAAATACTTCTTGTTCGTCTGTTGGAAAGAAAAAGGCATTGTGTTGATTTCTAGGTTTCATAAAGGCCATTGATAACGGACTATGTATGCTACTTACAAGATTTATTAGATACGTATTAAAAGCTTCTGCGAGAGCTTTTCCTTGTAATGTTACACCTTCTTTAGTTACTTCTTGTAGAGCTGACTCAAAGGGGCTATGTTTTAACACTTGGTTTAGCTGTTTCCATACAAGATCTGTTCTCTTCATACATGTCTCATTAAATAAATTATGAAAATATGTATGTTTAGACTGGCGAAGAACCTTATTTACTGTATTTCTGCATTTTTTGAAAAGAGCAAGATCTTCTGGAGTTCTTGTTTTAAGAAACGTACTATACAGTTTATTTTTTTTTATTAATTAATTT